AGCTAAAGGGAAGGAGATTTGAGGCGATAGAAGAGATTCAGGCAGAATCGCAGATGGTGCTTGACAGGCTGACAAAGAAAGATTTCCAGTGATGCTTCCAGGCTTGGCAGCGGCGCTGGGATCGTTGTGTTCACTCCCAGGGGAACTACTTCGAGGGTGATGGATGAATTTAATACCTGAGATAAGTGTACGGGTTTTTATAGGCGCAGTCTGAAAACTTTCCGATCGCACCTCGTAACATCCACCCTCGGGAACTTTCCAGTTCGGGGAATATAAAAATTCACAGAATACTGTAATGTTGTGAATGTGATGTGTGGGAAATCAGTGAAATTTTATGCTTAGTAAAGAATTCCCTGAAAGTTTGTCCATTGTCATGATGCAATATCCATGAATGCAACTTCTGTTTGTAGGATGTTTTCATCAAATTCAGTTTCTGAGATTTTTGAACATCCAAATAAAAAACGTGTATCACATATTCTTTCTTCGGTGTGTGATGATGATGTTTGCAATACAGAACAGTTATCGTCTTTGATAGAATTTATACTTTTAAAATGAGCAAACCACTGAAATGTTCTAGTATGTTTCAAAGCTTTTCTCCACATTCAGATTTAAACATTCTGTTTACTTCAGACTTTAAAATGGAACTTGGGGCACGTACATTATGTCACAGTATCACCAGTCTCACAGTTTTGCCAATTGCAAAATGTGACAACGGCTATGAACACATATACATAAAACTGTGTCTTTTACCCACAGTTCATACAAAAGAGCAATGTCTAACTTGTGAAGTCATAAACATTCGTCAATAGCTATGGCTTGCTGTCTGTGTAGTGTGTTGTTAACATATCAGTACATTGAAAGTATTCCTTGAATTGTATGTTATGTTCTTGTAAGAACAGTACAATATTATTCATATTATGTATGTTGCAGGTTTTTTGAGCCATTTGTTATGCAGTGGCTCAATGAAAATGATGATGTCTCTCTGGAATATTTGCATGGAGCCTTCAATAGAGACAAAAAGGATGGGGTTAGTTAATGATAATGTTGGGATTACATTATTTCAAGAAATCAGTCATTAGTTTTCTTTTTGACATATTATTTGTTTTCTGTTTCAGTTCCAACGCAGCAGTGAACACGCATTATTTTCCAATTCTGTTGTAGATGTATTTACACAACTAACACAGTGCTTTGATGTTGTTTCAAAACTTGAATGTCCTGATCCTGAGATCTGGAAGCGGTATATGAAACGTTTTGCTAAAACAATAGTCAAGGTTTTGGTTGCCTATGCAGATATTGTCAAGAAGGAGTTCCCAAGTCATCTTAAAGAAGAAAGAATTGTGAGTATAAATAATAGTCTGATCCAGCTAGTCATTAAACTTCTCATTCCTATATTGTAAGAATATTTGTGTATAACCCTGATAAAGTAACGTAATGCTTATATTTGCCTTCGGTTCTGGAAAATTTGTCAGTGGTTCAGGATGTGTTAATATAATTATTTTATATTCAGAATTTATGAAGGTAATAAGTGTACAGTAAACTCCAAATAACTTAAATCCCAGTTAACTGAAATTCATTTTTAATATTATTGTAAAATGGTATCATTATTTAACTTTGCAGTGCTGTACAACATTCTCAGCACATTTTATGTGACTGTATGTCAGTTACTCCACTTAGTTCAGGTCCTTTGCATGACTGATTTCTGTGATTTTAATAAATGGCTGTTATGTTCTGAAAGCTTAAAATCTTGATTTTGTTCTGTTTTTCATAATAACTAATTGTGGTACAGAACATTAATTTGTCTGTAAGTGATCAAACAAATTGATGATTTATAACATTGGATCTGTGAGGATAGCAAAAATAAAGTTACAAATGTTAAAGATACGTATGGATTTTCAGGAATGTGTCATGTTATTCTTGGACAGTTAACTATAGAACACCATCGAGAAACATGTGGCAAAGAGAATTATTTTCCTTTTGTGCACCTGCAGGCATGTATCTTGATGAACAATGTACAGCAGCTTCGAGTGCAGTTAGAGAAAATGTTTGAGTCTATGGGAGGTGAGAAGTTGGAAGAGGATGCTGCAAACATCTTGAAGGAATTGCAACAAAACCTCAACACTGCGCTTGATGACCTAGCCATGCAGTTTGCAACAAGGTAAACTTTACATTAATGCAAGAGGGGCGCCACTTATATTTATAAAATTTACACTCAGCTGATGACCAAAATTCCAGAAAGAACAACAGAAAAATGAAATATTTTATCTGGTTTTAGTGAATTCAGAAAATATACATTTATGTTGCATGAAAGTTAAAATTTAATACTTTACTTTTATATTATCTGTTTATTCGACAAAATTAACTTGCAAACTCAATTTTTTTTCTTATATCAAGGGAAGAATATTCTCGAGGAAGGTTTTTTTTTTGCTTACTTTCTTACATTTATTAATTCCCATCTACAAACCCATACAAAATGGCAGCAAAGGTAGACGAAGAAAAAGAAGACTAATTTCCAGCACTTCCTCAGGTATGGGTTATTTTTAAAATTATTAATTCAAAGCTGTTTTCGCGGCTCTTCTGCTCAATTTTGTACAAATTGAATGTTTAATTTTTCATTTGTTTAGTTTTGAAACTTTTCATACTGGAGAGAAGCAGCAAAATCATAATGTTAGGACTTCTCTAGTAGATATGAAAGGTCGAAGATTATTGAACATATTTAATTACCAGTTGTTAGTTCATACAAATTATCCACCACTTGCATGACATCTGTGATGTTAGCTTGGAACCACGCATCACGGAGAGTGTGCGCCAGTTGGCTGATCTGCTGCTATCCATAAAAGGCGGAGGCCAGGTGACTCTGAACCAACCCTCACAACGCAATGCTGTGGCAGCAGAGGCAGATGAGGTGTTACGACCACTCATGGATCTCTTGGATGGTCAGTTACAGTGCTATTTTTCTTATATCATAGTAGCACAGCTACCAATTCTTGTCTTGGTTTTTCATTATTTCGGTGAAATTCAGTTTAATAAAATCCTGGGCAGAAAACTGGTGCTGTAGCTGTACTAGTCATGAAGAAATTACATGCTTCAAGGTTAAGGTAAAATCACATACCAACAGTGAAGCCGAGACTGTTTCAGTGGAGGAATGTTTTGCAGACTTCTCACTTCATTTCTAATAGGATCAATGAGAAGTTTTGACCACTGCATTATTCAGTTCTTTGTTAATGCATTTTTGGGGGGATTTTATTCTTCTAATAAATGAAACACATTTCTTTGTATTTTGAATTATTATTTACCATGTAGGTAAAAGTGTACATTACTACGAATTCACATTCTTCACACTCTGCCGCCTACAGTGATGAAATGTTGCTTGAAGTTCAGATTTTTTTGACTGGTGAGGACTTTTCAGAGTGGTCTTCCATATCACCACAATGAGTTCAGCAATTTAATACAAGATGCAAACTAATGGATATTATGAATCTATGAAGAATTAATAGCAGATTACATTTTGCAACACAACATTGCCATTGCAGTTATATTTTAATTCACAATATATATAATTTTGTGAACTGAACACTATCCAGTGTGTTCTAAGTAAACATAGATCATAAAAAGTGTCTGACATGCACAAATTATAATTCAAGTGGAAGGTATATGTTTTTAACCTCTGATTATACTTATATTTGTATTTGTCACACTATTAATGTTTGCGAAACTTTTGAATGTCATATTGTGCCTTTCAGGTTCCCTTTCATTATATGCTCAGTCATGTGAGAAGACGGTGCTCAAGAGGTTGCTCAAAGAACTTTGGAAGATTGTAATGAGGATTCTGGAGAAGACAGTAGTTCTTCCACCAATGACAGACAAGAGTGTAAGTGCAAATTTGTACCAGTCACGTAGGCCTGCAAACAGTTCCTTCGGAACAATATGATGAGACTTCAGTATGTGGCAATTCTCATTTAATAACTAGTTTTAATTCCAAAAACACAGCTAACAGCTTGGCATGGGAACGTGGAGGTTCAGTACTGCTAATATCAAAGCTCATCATTGGATATTCTGAGCCAGTTCTATGCATATTCCATTCTCATATCCTAAGTGGTGTATTTTCATCTCCTTCTTGGTCTTGCAAGTGGATATTTCCCAAGACCTTCGCCCATCAGAACTGTAAATGCATTCCTTGTCTCTCCCGTCCTGGTGACATGCCCAGCGTCGCTGTCATCTATATTTCATTATCTTAGCTGTAGTTCATTTTATTTCCTCACTTCATCCTTATTAGACCTATATATTTTCCTGAGAAAGTACAAAAAACAAAAATTATTATGTTTTCATTTTCCTTAAGTGAATGTTCTTCTCTTCATTTGATTGTAATACTGTGCTAAGCTGGATTGTGGTCTTCTATGTTATGATGCCATGAAGCCTTGTAGGTTATTACCAACGTACTGGAGAAACTTACGATCCATCGTTAAGGTAGAAGGCTAAATATAAGGCATTTCATCACAGATAGTTTCCAAGATTTGTGATATGCACAGTCATTCAGTACTCTGTGTAATTGCAACAGGAGTTAAATTTTGGATGCAAAATAACCCCAGTAGTCACACCTGCTTCAGCCATTTAAATAATTTATGCAATAAATTTTAATGAACAGTTTTGTCATATCAAATAGGTATTGGACTCTGATCTCTGACATTCCATGTCAGTCCTTCAGTTATTTGCTTATAGTGTGGCCCACTGAATCATACATAAGGCATAATGCATGGGCAATAAAGGTTAAATTAATGTGTACTTTTATAATTTACCCTCTTCCTGGCACACTGAGAATTTTAATCTTGTATTCTTTTACTCTTTGTAGTTTCATACTATATTATCTTAATTCAAACTTCAGACCATCTACAATTCAAATTATATTTTCTATTCAAATCTGCTGTCACTTCATATTTGATTCTTTATTTTGTATGTGCTGTCTGTTCTTTCATTACATGTTCATCACTGTGATATGCTACATTCATTTTGCATTTAATTGTGTGTTATAGTATATGCCCACTACAAAGAATTTCTGTGATTTCTGACATTAGTTATATCATATTAACGGAGTTAAAACTGCTTCTGCCATAGATGATCCTGAAAAATCTTACAGACAATGCTAAGAACTTGGCAGCCAATGCCAAAATCGAGGACATGTCACGCTTGTTCAAGAACCACATGGCCGGCAAGCAAGACATCAGGAATCCTCTTAGTGGAGTAATGGTAAATCGATTAAAGTACTAGAGTCATATATCATGTTCAGAAGCTCAAACTACAAAAACTGCAAATTGTACTTTAAATTTTGTTATAATTCATATTCCCCCAGTTAAATGTTACTCTGTTTTGGTGCAACACATTAAACCTTGCCTGATGAAGTGATAATCAACATGTTTTATTGAGTACTTAAAGAACTGATCTGATGTTTCTACACTGCATCTGGCGTCACTGATGATTTGACACTATTGAGTCACAAATATACATGATTTAGCCATTTTTTCTCAGTCTTTATGGTTTTGTGGACAATTGTTTTTTATTTCAAAAAGTGTTAGGAGAAATAATAGTTTCTTATGTTTTTCTGCAAATTTGTTGGAATAACCTGACACTATGAAAAAAAAATGACTGCTATCATGTGCATGTGATTTTCTTTCCTCCGCTGTTCTATGTCCTTGCTTCCCCATAGGACATATCAAAGGAGGTGGAGAAAAACCTGTCCCCTAAACAGTGCGCTGTTTTGGATGTGGCACTGGACACCATCAAGCAGTATTTTCATGCTGGAGGCAATGGGTTGAAGAAGACCTTCCTGGAGAAGAGTGCAGAGCTGCAGTCATTGCGCTATGCTCTTTCACTGTATACTCAGACCACGGACACACTCATCAAAACATTTGTCACGTCACAAACAAATGAAGGTAAGATATGTTTGGTTAGGTTTGTCCAGTGTACACTTACTTTAATTTCCATGTTCCTGCTCTTTGATGTTTCCTGTGGTGTGGAACCATATTTAATTTATTGTTATAAGTGTCGTAATGTTTGTCCAGCATTAACTGTTGTCACGTGTTGTTTCAACCCTTGAAGCTTACAGAGCTTCAAATACATAACCTTAGCATGAAGCAGGGAGCCTTTCTTAATGTTACAGGCATACAAAATTATTTTTATCTGCTTTTTGAAATCGTACTTCACATCATGTGGACTCTACTATTCCTCTACGGGAACATTCACAAATAATTTAATATTTTACAGTGTGAAAGTGTTGCACATAAAACTCGAGGTAAAACTCAATTTAAAATTTATTTTAAAATGTCATCTCACACAGTAAATATTGCAGTAATAAATGTGTGAGATTTGAAAGTAGCTACTACTTTGTAAAAATATTGGTTTGACTTCAGTGTTCATTTGACTAATTGAACTGTGGTTCATTGCATACTACATTTAGAAACTGGTCTGTACAATTATGTAAGTGTAGGTTCAACAACATTAAGAATCGCACTATTTTCAAAACACCAATGTTGCACAGAATCAATTTCAGACTGCAAGAATATAAAGTTATGAACATTATTAATAGTATGATATGGTTTTAAGTTGTCAGCAAACAAGAAGTACTTAGAATTAAAAATAGTCAAATTTTTCATTAATGAATATATTAAAAGCAAGCGTTTCTGAAGTGAATTCCTTTGAACTACATATTTCAAAACATATGGAAGTGATAGGGTTCCAGAAATATGAACAGATAAGCATATTACGAACTTGTGAGACTATACATGTAGATTACCAAAGCAGACTCTGTAAAGTCTTCATCCTTGTATAATACTATCGAGTATTACCTTGCGTAGCATGTAAAGTTACGATGGTTATCAGTGAAATTTGATCATTTACAGACTGGTAAATTTGTAAAGTGCTTACGAGACTTTTATCATAATAAGCCACATGTGCAGTACTGGTAAAAATTATTTGTGAATGTGTCTACAGAATACAACTTAACTTTCTGCAGGGCATGTGTGTTCCCAGCACCTGAAAATGTTTGCGAAATACCTTGTCTGTCTGTTTGAAGATCTACTTACTGTTACTTATCTGAAGGATAATACAGTAGAATCTCATGCTTCTGTGTAGGTTGATTCACCTATTTTATTACTTTTCTTCTTTTCCTCCTCCATTTAAAACACAAAAGTTCCACTTAACGACAAATCGAACCTTAGGCAACTTTCCATCTCCATTGAGCGTGAAGAGGAGGAAGGAATGGAAGGGCTCGAGGAGCCCCTGAAAGCCAAGAAACGCCGAGAATCCCGGCAAGGTAAAATGAATATGCAATGGAAAATTTTTTTCAGTCCAGAAATTAAACTAGAACTTGCACTGCTGTATGAACAGTTTGCTGATTTAGATGATTATATCTACAATTAACTATAGTGTTTCACAATTGTTCAGGGGTGTGCTGCCAGATAAATAGCATATGTTAATTACTGTGGAGTTCAATGCAGAATTAATAAACATTCTTTCTTCGACACAATACCTTTTCTCTGTTACTATCATTAAAATGGAAAACATGTATTCAAATATTTATACAGACTTCTAACCAATGGGTGTTTAAAGTGTAATGCATTGTAGGAATAGGGAATACTTTGAAGATGGCTGTCTTCTGGGTTGTTGCGCCATGTAGTCTGGTAGAAGTTTACCAACGTTCTGAGGTCCATGCTGCTTCCATCATCAGGGCAGTCATCACCCTGATGATAGAGGCAGCATGAACCTCTGGAACATTGGTAAACTTCTATCAGACTGCACAGCACAGCAACCTGGAAGACAGCCATCTTCAGACTTACAACCATGAAAACCTCAAATTGCACTATGTAATGCTTAGTTTATAAATAAAACAAACAGGTTTAATATTAATACTATTCAGTTGGCAAAAAATTAATTTTCAGAGTTTGATAACATTTATGTACAATTACCTTTTAAATTCCTTTATTCTCACTTTCATACAACAGTTTTCTTCTACTTAACTTTCAGTCATTAACCACTTTATTATTAGTCAGTACAATACCATATATGAATTGCTCTTGTCTATTATGACGTTATGGTCTTACCCCATACTTTATTTTATGTAATGACTCCTCACATACATCAAGATCAGCTAAACAATGCATTTTGCACTTATATTTAATTAACAAAGAGATTAAAAGTAAGAATTGTTGCAATAATCTGTCTACATAATGATTTATTAATTGCCTGAGTATTTGTTTTAATAAAAAATTATCTGTGTATGCCAGGTAAATTTAATATATAACTTCTCTTATTTCGTTAAAACTCAGTGCAGCTCACCTCTGTATTTTTACACTTTTCTTACATAACAATAGTTACGCAACACTTTACAGATTGGAATGCTTGCTAAAAGTTTACACTTAGCTGCATCACAACATTAAATCAATCATTTTTATGACATATACTACTTTAGTTAGTAGTTAGCTGAGTAGCATGATTAATTAGGTATACTTTAATTTGTTCTAGCTCACAAAGCCCTCCATATCCTTTTCCATTTCCTATATACTTCCCTTGTTTTGAACTTCCTGCTTTGCTCTTTATGTAATGCTGTAATGTAACTGAACACTGATTCATGTGTTGCACTTTACAGGCCACTAGTTATGATTTGTCACTTATTTCCTGTTGAGGCTGTTGATACGTGTATTGATCTGCAGTCTGCACATCACCAATTATTTTTTTGTAAAGCACCAGAAAGTAATCTTTGTACTCTCACATGGCAACGTCTGATAATTTAAGAGCATTCTTCTCAGTTTTTAATCGAATGTGAGTAAAAATCATAATTACATCCATAATTTTTCAAATTTATTATAATAATGTGTTTACTTAAAGTATATATGACCAAAGTACTTTCCAGGAGCTAACCAAAGTCAGAAAATTCTAATGCTCTTAAGGAAATACCACCCAACAGTTGTACAAACATAAATTGTCTGAGCTCAGTTTAACAGAATAATGTAGACTGTGATGATAGTGATACTATTTCATGTACATTCTCCCAACAGAAGATAAATGTGTGCATTTTTCATTTGCCTTGTCAGGGGCACTGCTAAATCTGTCTACCATTATCCTCATTCAATACTTTACATATGTGTGTAGGATATGGATATTAGAAACCAATTACCAGTGTGCAAACACATCTGCTATTTGGGTTTTCCTGTTTACTGAAATTTGAACTTCATAAAACTTTAGCACTTTCAACTTAATAATAGTCTATTCTTTGTTTGTCAGTTATACCCTTTTTTTCACAACTAAGTCTGGAACATTATATATCTTACCACATAGTTTTGACACTTATTTTTCAGGAAATACCAACTGGAGATGCAGTATAAGAGTGATCAGTGCATGTTCAGTGTGTTCCGTTTTATATATTACATAGGAAACATGTCTTAAACATTTACATTTATTTCTTTACTTCTGTAATTTTGAGAAGGATGCACGGTGTTGGAATGTCTGTCCTAATGTGGCATGTCTTATTAGAGCATTTGATGTGTAGTTGCATGTTACATATAATGTCAATGTTTGGATGTGAGATTTGGTAAAATATATTTAAATAAAATACAGAATGTTACAAGATTGGTATTTTGAACCAGTCTCATATTGCAGCTAGAATCTGATCCAGAAATGTATAAACTTCAGTTTTGTTATGGGTCCCATATTAAATAGAAGTAATTACCAACTTTATCTCATAATTTAACATATTCATTCAGTATAGCACTATTGAAGGTAATATCAATAAATATAAGATTTTAAGCTATCATGGCAGCTGATTGAAATGAAGTCTTATATGGTTATCAGCCATGTGAGAACTGCATTGTAATCCAATGTTACTGGAACTGTCTTTACCCCCACCATCAACCCAGATGATGAAAACAGAGAAAGTCTCTGAAATGTTGGATTGCCACACCATTCACATACAGCTGACAGCCCAATAAAACATCATTGAATATCATAAATTGTTGCTCTCACATGATTGCATTAATTTCCATGTGGGTGTGATGTAATTGGCATAACTCTACAGAGCAGAATCCTTATTGAGAAGCTGACAGTCACTCATCTTGTCAATAAATCCCTCACATTTAATAGATCTGAAGATTCATTACTATGGTCACAAGAGCATCACCCTCATAACTGATTTCTTTAAAATTCATCTGAATATTATCTTCCCATCTGCTTAGGTCTTCGACTAAAATTGTGTTTGCATTTTTCATCTCCTGCATATGTGTTAAATGTTTTACCTATCTCATCCTTCTTGAATTGATAATCCTAATTATTTAACCAACATATTACAATAAGGTTTTTCTGAGTGCTCTAGCAGATCACAGAACAGTTATCATGAAGCAGGGTTGTCCATGATGGGCCTGCCAAATCCTGAGTTCATAGTCCCATCTTGCTTTAATTCCTGTTACTCTACTTGACCACTGGGATAGACAGTCATTCACTTAGTTGTGTTATTTCCTGTGTTGAAGTACCATGTGTGAGATACACATTGGAATGTGTGAAAATTTCTTTAAGGAAAGGAAGGAAAAGATTTAACCATATTTTTCAGGATGTTACAATTCTACGTAGAAGAACTATATACAGGATTTTAAATAAATTCAGACAGGGCTGTTACTGGACAAGAAAACTGAAGTGAAATATTAAGTGCTCAGTGAAGAGAAATTTGATAAACTGAGTGGCACATTTCAATTTCATTTTGAAGCACTGGTTTTCCTTTTGTCAATGACACATCACCATGAGGACTTCAGATCAGTTTTTCAGGTTGTTCGTATGCCCCACAGCTTATTACTGCTATTTTCCATTTGTTCTCAAAACCACATTTAACCTATGGTATTTTCAGAGTGTATTTGTCCCATGTATACATGTTAGTGTACTTGCCCTTGCTACAGTATATTTAATTCTGTAAGGAAACCATTCAGTATTGCTGTCCATGCTTTACTGTGTTTCATATTGTTATTTTAGAAGTACTACTTATATCCTTGCTTCCTTGCCATCATTTTTTGGTCTTATTCTTTAATTTTAGGTTTTATAGATTTTGATGTTTCTTTCAATTGATGTTCTGCTAGCATTTTAGCTCTCATTTTATGGCCTGCTTCTATGATAGTAAGGCGTCCTTCAAACTGAGGCCATAAAATGAAAGGTGACAGGTATATTTAAGTTTTAACACGTGATATTTACATCACAGTCACAATTTAAAGAAATAAATTTTTTTCTGTTAGATATATGAAGTAGTAACACATTTTTCATGGATTTCTTTTAAGTCTTAATATAGTAAAGTCAGTTAAATCAGTACCATAGTGCTACAATGTATAACTTTCATATGTGGGCAAGCATGATCAAGGTCAGAATATATTAGTGACTTACCAGTATCAGACTTTAAGCAGGTGAGTAAAGTAAAAAATTGTACAATCAAATCAGCCAAGTTTCAAAGAGACATATTGCTTATTCTGCAGCATTGATTAGATTGGTAAACATTACTTTTACTACATATGCTTGTGATATTTTAGTGTTTACTCTTCAGCATGCAGACCCTAAAAGTGAAGGTTATCCACAAGTTCTTCATTAACAATATTCCAAAACTATTCTTGTGGTTGCATTTCAGATATTGTAAGTCCAGATGAGGGAAGTGTAGGGGAAGTGTCCATTCAGGTGGATCTATTCACACACCCTGGAACAGGAGAACACAAAGTTACTGTCAAAGGTAAGTCATGAATGATATTAATAGAACTGAACACAGGAGGCTTGAAACTACTGAATTTTGTGTTCCCATGAATCTGATTTCTTAAGTTTCCTGTTTCAATGTACTTATGGATTGTGAAATAAATCAACTTTGTCAGGATCTGGTATTCTGAAGGAGTTCAGACAGTCTGTTAAGTGATAAAAATTCCATTGGTGACATCAAAAAGTAAAAATTCTGCATGACATTCCAGATTTCTTGCAGAATATTTCTTTTGCAGTACTCTTTATTGCAGCACCTCAAGTATATTTTATGTTTAGTAGAGTTTTCAGTTTGAATGTACAAAGGTGTGATTTATAAATGTTTGTGTGTGGTATCGTAAAATTTAACCTGTGACCATACGTATTGATTTACAATACCTTTCAGTAACACTTGAATTGTCACTCTCAATTACTATTTACATTCTTTCAGCAACTTATTATCATGTCTTTATTATAATATTGTTTCAATATTTTATCAAGCCTCTGAAAAGAAATATTAATTAAGTCTGTTTTATTAGTTTACAAAATACAAATGTGTTGTATATCTGTAAACACTAAGCAGAGAAAAATGTTTCAAATGAAAGCCTGTTAATTCTTAGTAAGAACCATAATTTATGTTGAAGATTTCTGTCTTCTGGGTTGTTGCGCTGTGTAGTCTGGTAGATGTTAACCAACGTTTCAGAGGTTATACTGCCTCCGTCATCAGGGTGATCGCAGTATGATCTCTGAAAGGTTGATTAGCATCGACCAGTCTACACAGCGCAACAACCCAGAAGACAGAAATCTTCATACTCACCGCTGTGAAAACCTCAAATCTTACAAAATTTATGTTGTATACAGTAGCTGGAATTTAACATTGCATGTCACCTACATCACTAGCTTGTGAGTAGAAGATAAACCAAAAACATTATTGACATAGGAACTGACATGCTAGAAAGTATTGCCACTAGGAAATAATGTTTATAGTTTTGACAGCTTATGCTTCCTTACCTGCTACTCCTCTGATCCCCTTGGCCTTTATTCCTTACTTCTGTGCAACACATGGTTTCCTCCTGACCACTGTAAAAATTCTTTGTACAAGGAGCCATTTTTTTTAGAAAATCAAAATTAGATTTGAGATTCATTAAAGTAGTATTTCCCTCTTTACAACCAAAATGAAATTTCTGAACAGTAAATTCAGCCTAAATCCATCATGTAATTAGTTTTGAAAATAAAAATGTGGACATATTCTTCCTTGACATTGTGTTTTCATTTGATGCACTCTGAAGAAAGAAAGAAAAATTAAACATGCCAACTTTTGTGAAAGTTTTATTAGCCAAGTAACAGTGAAGAAACTCTTGATTAATAGATTGTTTTAAATGAGTTCACCTTGTTGGAAATGTCTAGTACATTTACTTTTTAATCATTTCACTGTTATGAATGATGAACCATTCCATTGTGGATGGAAGTTTTATGAAGGTAGTTTCAGGATGAAAGAAGTCCTGAAGATGGAGATTTAGAGGTGTAAGAGACTGTAGTGTGATGCATGAGAGGGAAATACATGTTTAACATTTTCATAATCAAATTATTATAAGAATGTTCAAAACAGGGAAATACATGAATCAGTGCTGATTAGTTCTAAATAACATTTTAAGCTACGGAAGAGTTTGTGTAATGAAAACTGACATGTAATTTTGTTGAATGGGGTGGAAATTAGGTTTGAAAATTAAACATTGAAGTTCATAACTTATAGAATAAAGTTACAAGTTGACATGTCCTAGTTGGCAGGTTCCATATCAACTGCATAGATTCCATGTAGTTGCAAAATCTTTCTACTGTCTTTCACTTCCATGCCATACAAGCCGTCCCAGTTGAAATAGTCTACTCGTAACAGACTAGACTTTCAGACACTATGTTCCTTATAGGGAAACTCTGGATTTAATGAACCTGGTGGCATGTACATTTCTTACAGTGGTGGCAGCAAATGATTTGAAGTGGCCAACAGTGACGGGCATGTTCCGTCCGTTTGTAGAAGTAAACCTCATTGGTCCACATCTTGCAGATAAGAAGCGAAAGCATGCCACTAAGTCAAAGTCCAATAACTGGTCACCTAAATACAATGAGACCTTCCATTTGTAAGTACATTTTAGTATAAGTGGTAAATATATGTCATTCAGTATTTAAAATAAGCTGTAATATCAGTACCTGTTTATATATATGCAGCTGTATTAATTTCATAAAACATGGGTTTCTTTCCTGCAGCATAATTGGCAATGAAGAACAACTGGACTACTTTGAGCTCCATATTTGTATCAAGGATTATTGCTTTGCCAGAGATGATCGCCTAGTGGGAGTGGCGGTAATGCAACTGAAGGACATTGTAGATCAAGGTTCATGTGCATGTTGGCTGTCTCTTGGCAAACGCATCCAGATGGATGAAACAGGTTGGACCATCCTTAGGATATTGTCACAGCGAACTAATGATGAAGTTGCCAAGGAATTTGTGAAGCTCAAGTCAGATATCCGCACAGAAAATCCTCTTCCTAACCCAACCTGAGATACTTAAAATGTGCAAGATATATATCCCATTGCTGTCACATACTACTTGATGGATCAGAAGAGAGGATCAAAGGAGCTCAAAGCTACAGCAGTATGTTGTAGGTCCAAAGTAAACAAACGAGCTTGCTCTTTCATAAAACAAGCCTTGATACATTTCAGAGAGAGAGAGCGAGCGAGCCTGCCTGCAGCTACACGTAAACTGAATAGACACATGATTCAATAAAAGGAAACCACATGTATTTATTCTTAAATAACTTACATAAAAAGCAGTGGTATGCTTTTTGTGTGTATGTGTGTGTGTGTGTACAGTTACTAACCAACTTTAAAGTTAAAATTTCAATATGCTTGAAGACATGAATAAAGATGAATTTTGAGACCACAGCCATTATGGCTTCAAATTAAATTTTATTTCTGCTTCTCTCTCTCACTCATTCCCTAAAATTGCAGGCTGCATGAAATAATAATAAACACAAATGGGACTGGATAGAGGGCCACCTACCTTGTGAAAATGTGTCAGTGGCATAAAATCTTAATCCTGTTCTGATAAGATAAAGCTTCCAGTTGCTGAAGATAAATTCTGACATCTTATGTTCTGATAAAGATTATTGCAATTATAATATGCATACACTTATTTTCATACAGTGTCTATTCTGTCTGTCTTGCCTGTTGAAAAGTTCTAGATTCTTTAAAGCTGTCAGAATGGTACTTACGACAATTGGAACCACTATTTTAATCCTTACGTATACCAATAACTATATTTCACTGTGATGTTCTGAGGCCTGCCTTCCACCCCACAGTGGGTCAGTTCAACCAAATGTAGTCTCAATTCTACCACAGTCCTTTGTACAGACACCAACTCAAACAGTTATTTAATTCTAGCAAACATTTCTTCATTTTACTAATGCACCATTTATTGTAAATAGAAATGGTTTATTGAATTATCAAAACATTCATGATTTCTGGTAACAGCCACAGTAAAAATTAATAAAACAATAGTACCAAATTTTAAAACCAACATAAAGATCATAATTGATAAAGATTATGTGTATGTATGAAATAAAAGATGTAATTTTGGTCTTTCGGATAGAACACCATGTGGATCTGTAGCTAGATATCATAATTTTGGAGCAACATAACTGCCACCATCTTCAGGGTTATGAAGATGGAGGCAGTATGTTGTTCCTAAATTCCACATGGAGTTGCAACCTGGAAGACAAAATTGACATTTTCACCAGTGTGAGAATCTCACATCTCAAAAAAGATATTAAGTTTGAAGGTAATACAGTGTAAAGGAAATTCTTGATCATAGAAATGACAATGTATTAATTATTAATAATTAATACTTTATTGCTATTTACAAGCAAGGGATTGCTGTTTCAAGAATGTGTTTTGATTAAACTCTGCAGTGATTTGAACTTAAATGAAATTTATAAGCATGCCAACATAAATATTCTCTCTACATAATAATACTACTACTGTAAATTTCAGGCTAGGCTGGTGGCAGGAAACAGTTTAAGCATCATAAACATTTGAGAAACAGTTGTTACAATATAATCTCATTCTGTGCTAATACATATTTTACAATTTTCCCCTTCTTGTTTCTATCTTGTACTCGCTGCACCATCATAGAAAAATATTGCTAGTGAACAGGTTGTACCAAAATCAGACAAATACCTATATTTTTAAAGTGTAGCCAAAAAAACTTGCATTTATTGTTACAAATAAAAATAAGTACTTTTAATCTTATCTCATATCCTGCAATCAGTGAGAGTAATAGAAATCATATATAATTTCTCTGGTAAGGTATTTTACCCACATCATGCTAGTACAGCATGTCTCCTCTCTACAGTGACAGTTACAGGAAGCAAGCTCAACCTGTACTGATCTACAGTTGCAAGACATACACTACAGAATATCCAGGGGATTAAGTACTGTAAGTGCACTGATATAGCACTATAATAAAAGTGAATATTTCATAATAATACAATAATACAAGAGGCTGCTGTTATTGACAAGAAAAAATCAGCATATAAAACCATTCTCTTAAAATAAGTCACATCATAGCTAAATGGCACATGTGCATTTTATCAAAACAATTTTGTATTTACTGTTGGTCTTCACTAATATTCCTCTTTCATTGTCACACTGCCTCAGTGTATTATTGTAGTGTAAAATATTTCCTTACAGATCATTCAAATCAAATTGGACCTAAAATATTTCGAACCAAATAAAAGAATTTACTATGCCATCACAAAAGAAAATATTGACAATACAATATTAATTGTATGCATGAACTGATGTTGATCTAGATTTCAACTTAAAATTGCAATCAATAGCTGTGACCCAATAGTCTTATGTAGGCAGTACAATTTGCCTAACTTACCTATCCTTGTTTATTTTGAATTATGTATAATTCTGTCTTGTATTGTTGAAAGTGTCACCACATGTCACTAGCTGTAAAATAATAATAATATTACTGACTTGTTGTCACAGTGCTCTGTTGTTCTCTGTTAAAAATGCAAGAGAAGTTGTTAAAACAAACTTTTTTCTATATGAATGTATAAAGAACATTGAATGAAGTTTAGTGTAGAAACATAAAAAAACTATGTAATGTGATTTCATACAAGCATATTATTAATATATAATATAAGTATTATATATATATATATATGAAATTCTCCTGTTCTTCCATTGCGGATCGATATAAATGCTATATTTGTGTGATGGCATGCTGATATATCGGCTGTGCACACCGTGCCTGATTTCCTTTGGATGTGGGCCACTCTTTCAGCATCATTTGTTACCTGTTTCAACATTGAATGTTCTCTTTCAACACTGATAAAATGCAGTAGGCATAACTTATAATAATGGAAATGTCTGAACCATTGACTGAAAACTTTAGTAGGAAATTGGTAGGTAAGTCCAGACCATGAATTTTATAAGGTAATTTAAAAAGTTCTAAATTAAAAGTACAGGCACTGACCTACTTTAGACAACCAAATGGAAACATATTGTACTGTATGAATTTTAAACCATATACCCATTTCCTAAATCAACTTAGGCATAAATAAGATGAAAGAATCAGGCACAGACCCTGGAGTTTTCAGTTGATAAGACCCAATATATTCACATCGAGTTATCAATGTTTGTGCCAGTAACATAGATGTTGCCTTTTAATGGAAACTAAAAGCAATTTACAATAAATTTGGTAACTGAATAAAATTATTTGTTAGACCATTGATACTGTGGCCTCTGGTAACAGTCCAGTTTGAACATCAGGTGAACTATGTTTTTTGTGTGTAAAATCATATTAAGCAGAAATATCAGTATGCCTTTCATTTTGGACTGTAACATATCTGGTTGGGGTGCTCTTAATTTTTTTTTCTGTTATGGCTAGTGTCTAAGTGATCAATAATGCATGTGTGGAAGAAGTTACTTGTGGTTTCCTTTATCTGTAGTAAAATTTATATGAATTTCCTGGCCCTGTTTTGTGATCTATTAAGTTCTATCAGTGGACTGGTCCAGAAATAATCTGTTGTGAACCTAAAATTGAAGACAATGGTATGTGCTTTAACAGAATTGCTGGTACAAAAGAGGCTACAAATAATCTAATGAGGAAATTTGTTAAATTATTTTTGTTGATTAACATTTTCCTAATATTGGTAAAAGTCTTATCGAAGTATAAGGTTATAGAACTGGAATGCCATGATGATCTTGGTGGATACCTTATGTAATTAATATATATCAAAGTTTTCATTGCACTATTGTATATGGATACACTATAGACTGGGTCAATTACATATTCATCTGGGTCAGGATGATACAGTTATATGATAATAATTCTAAAATCTTAATCAAAGATGGTTATATGGTCACCGGACTTAAAAGATTTCAAAAATATTCATTTGTAAGCAAATTTGATTCACATATAGTTAAGACTTTAAGTTTTTACAGATGTTTAGACCATGAATTGCCCTAATGAAATGCAACAATTTTTCTATCTTAAGATTTTCATACATTGCTCTGAGTGGAATAACTGCATATAAGATTTGTTAATTTGCAAGTAAACCATATGCTTCAAATAACACATTACTTGAATAATGATTATATCATATGTGTTGGTGTATGAATATGCTAAAACATATTTTTTATTGTTTTAAATGGCCTTTATCCTCTGAATTCACAGAGCCTTGTTATGAACTAGTTCATGAATGACTGTTGCAGAAAATATGTATGATTTTATGGCTCTGCATCTAATAGGAATGTTGCAAAACAGAGGGTATATTTCCTGTAACTATGACCAATAAGGCTGTGTGAAGACCACTTGTTACCTGTTATATTACACTTATGTAACAAACATCCTCCTTGAACACACCCAGTTATATCTGCCTTGAAGAAGCACCATGAAAGAGGATGTATCAGTTCAGGTACTCTACATTCTTACAAGTTTTCCAGTTTGAATTGATTTTAAGCATAATGAATTTTATTATATGCACTTGTCTTACTCTTAGTTGTAGTGTTTTCATTTTTGTGTTAAGTTCCCCCCCCCCCTCCCTGAATGATTGCTTCTTAACCCTAAATAAGTGTGAATGAAGGACAACTTCAAAACAATCTTTTTAACACTTAAAACTATACAGGAACTAAAATGTTAATTATAATTTTCTTTTACATTACCTAGTATAATAATTTACAATCTGGTATTTTTATTTGGTATGAAAGAATGTAAAATTGCATGTTTCAAAATAAAAAGGATATGACCTTTGATAGATGTATTAAGGCAAATGAAGGTAATAAGGCCATGTTATACTTTTCTTATTTTTTCATCATGTTACAAAAGTTGTAAAGCAAAACTCTATATAAACATCTGCTATATGATTCATTTAGCTACATTAAAAATAATTCCTATTTTTCTTTGGACTTTTCAACAACTTTTGGTATGCCTGTTCTGATACCTCTTTTATTTTGTAGAATTTATTTTTTCTTTTTATTTGGATTAAGGTAGGGTTTCCTTTTGGCACTTCTCTTATATTCCTCCTTATTTATCACTTACGACATTTTCAATGTATCTGCTGTTGCTAAACAAGACTTACTGATATAGTAAACCATATGGCTGGTACCAGACAACATAGGTATTTGAAGTCAATGTGTGACCTGCTGGAAAATACTGGCTGGGATTTCTCATTTTAAAATTTTGATGATACTTTGCTAACACTGCTAGGAGCAAAGGTTTCATTTGGCATCACACATGGATAAATTCATTTGCTCTTTTGAGCCTATTTCTGTATTAGTGGGTGTTCTG